TTCAAATTTTAGCTTCTAATTAACCTTTGATACTTCTAGATAGCCTTTTGGTACTTTTAGCTAATAGTTATCGTTTTATTAGTTTAAGCTAAACTTGATCTAATTTTAGCTTCTAGTTAGACTTGATACTTTAAATTGCAGTTAGGTACTTCTAGCTGCTATTTTGATACTTTTAGTTAGCCTTGTGCTAAATGTAGCTGTTACCTATCTATACGTTTAACTTTTGCTTGCTTATAGCTAGTGTTTTGCTCTTCTTAGCTTTAACAATGCAGTTTCAGCTCACATCATTCAAACCATGTTTTAGAAGAAGACGCAAACCCTTGTTTTTGTTTTCTATTTTCACAGAATTAACTTGATAAAATGTATATTTGATGCCTCAGCATTGAACCAAATAGCGTTTTATCATCACAAACACTAATAGATGGTACTATAAAGAGATACAATTTAATTTTCAATGTTTTGAATTTAAAATCTTTATGAGTCAGGTGGAGTTTTGCTGCATTTCATCTAAATGTGTAAAGTAATATTTGGCACTTATACCAGTTTCTGTTATTGCTCTGTTTTATTGCTGCTTTGTGTTTGTGCTGAGAATGAGCACTAATTGTGTTAAGTGGATGTCCTGGTCTTCAGAAGCATCATCGATCACTTCTCTCTGTCCCGGAGAATAAAGTGTCTGTCACTGTGGCCCTGCTGGATCACTTTTAGCTCRCGAGTCAAAGTGACACTAACGCAGGAGGAAGTGTGTTCGCTGCTCGACGGCTCCTTGTTTACATGCCGCACATGTCACGTTGCTTCAAAGGCGCAGGAGAGAGCTGCAAAGATACGGCGTGAAAGGCCCGGTGAGGCGGAGAGGAGGAGGAGACAGAGGTGGAGGAAGCAGATGAAAGACGAGGAGAAGAGCAGGGAAAGTGACACAGATGACAAGAACATGGGCAAGAACCTGTCACAGAGGGGAGCTCAGATATTATATGCAAATTATTTTTAGTGTTGTCAGAGGTTGTTGTTTTTGTTTTCTTTAAAAGATCCAGATCTCTGTGGTTACCAAGCAGGACAAATTTACCAGGAAGTCATTCTTTGATGATCCGTTGTATTTGAGTCCCCTCAGAGCAGGGGTGTCCAAACACTTTGTCACGTGGGCCAAAATCATAAAGTCAGAAGGACTTGAGGGCCAAAAACATTTTTCCTTTACTCAACAATAAACTAAGCATTAAATACTTTGATTAAACAACTTAATTAATCTACATCTAGAACTTTAAAAGTGTTTTGCAAGAATCCTTTATTGAAAGAATTTTGGCAATTGTCTAGGGTCGTATTCAGACCTGATGATTTGCTCCGCTTTAAACGAACCAGAGTTCGTTTCCAGCGTTGGTCCGGACCTTTTCTGCAGGTGTGAATACACTCATGCGAACTCTGGTTCGGATCAAACAACCGGACCGAGACCTGCTTTTTGAGGTGGTCTCGGTCCRCTTCCAAACGAACTCTGGTGCGGTTCGCTTCAGTTCTCTTCTGGTGTGAATACAGACCGGACTCTAACCGAACCAACTGCATTAAACATGCACCTTTTTGGACTTCACAGGCCACCGTTGCTGAGCTTAATAAACTGAAAACATACCTGTTTCATCGTCTCCTGTTAGCAGCTCTGCTGCAGCATGTAGTGGGTCAGAACACGCAGAGCACCTCTTTTCCTTTGGGTTGCGGGACACATTTACTGACACCGCTCCAAAATTAGAATATCATCACAGAACCACCATTAAATTAGCTGCTTCTGACATTTTAAATGCTATTGCAGTTGTACTATCAGCAAAAATGTGCACATCAAAACCGCAACATGCAGGACTTCCTTGTTTTCTTCTGGATCTGTGGCTCAGTCCCGCCCCCGTCCTTTTTTTGTCCAATGGGAGCAATGATCGTAAGCCTCATGGCTTTGTTTACAAGTTATAGTTCAATTGCAAAAAAGCACAATGTGAATGCAAACCGCACCAAACGAAAAGAAAAGTCCATTTTTGGTCCGGACCAAACAMTTGGACCAAAGGACTTTCCTGGTCTGAATACACTCTAAGTGTTAATTGGGGGGAGAGAGGGGGCAATTTAGTCAATTCTGATCAATAAAGTCAGGATTTTGGTCACTCTTTTGCTAAAAATGCTTGCTGTATTCAGCCAGATTTAATAAATTATTTAAAAGCAGATTGGAGTGCAGCAAAATCAGTTTTTCAGTAGAAGTCACTAGATAGATTTAGAAAAAGCTAAGAGCCTTTAAAGACAAATAATGGGCWTTGTTGCCAGTATTTGTTAATGGAAGAAGATTTTACTTTATCTGTGATCGTTTTGTCTTAGTAAAAAAATAGAAAGTCTACATCTACATCAAACACCTGTGCCGGGGGGACAAATTTGACAAATTCATATAATTTTTGAACTGAAGTCAGGGGCCACACAAAATTAGTTCAGGGGCCACAAAAGGCTCCTGGGCCACACTTTGGACACTGCCTTAGAGTAAGAGGCTGCACTTTTCCTGAAGTCCAAACAAAACAGAAACAAATTAAAGATTGTAGGCAAAGATCAACACGTGTCACTGTGGAATACACAAAACATGGCTTTAATGCTGCCAATTTTACAAATATTAAGGTTGAGTGGCAGTAGCCGGCATTCACAACYCAGAGTCTGAGAGCTAATAAATCATGCAGGATCTCCGTACAACAGATTGTGCATAAAGTTCATTTTCAAGGTTTGACTTTTTTCTCAACRTAAAATGATTTTAGTATAAAAATCTGTCATGAATAGAGGAGAAGAGCGTTCTTTTGAGGAAAGTTAGGCCTTTATTTTTTTTGTTTTTCAGCACAATGTACAAGTCATGAATTTACTGGATGAATAGAAGCATTGAGACCCATTAAAATAATATTTACTGTATTTAAGTGTTAAAGGCAACGGTTCAAAAGTTGATAATATTTCCTAAAGAACCTGGTGATTTTACAGCTCAGACATGTTTTTAACATCTTGGGTGATGGTCACCTTCAGCTGTGTGTCAACATGTTAGCTTTGCCCGAGGTCGTTTCAAGTGTTTTCATTCTGGATCAACGTTTGTTGTGTTTCCTGGATCAAGTCAGTGTTTTTGGAAATGTCGGCCTAATGTTAGCTGAGCCCGCACGTTGTTCCAGTTCCTGCTTTAAGCTCGTGTTATTTTTGTTTCATGTTACACATCATGCTAGCACCGCCCGGGTGTTCACGGCTCTCCCTCTCCACCCCCCCGGAGGGGGGTCCTGGACCACCAAGAGCCGTTCAGGCACTACTTATGTGTCGATACGTTTTCAGCGGGGGGGCTGCGTGCGTGGAAAATTATAACTGACAAGAGCCGCGGGTTCCGAAACACATGGGGTCTCCAGTTCCAGAAAACACAGACGGTCCCAGAGACGGGGGGCCATTAGAATGAAAAGCTTTAGGCTACGCTAATGTGGCCCCCAGACTGCTGCTCCACATTACATTAATGCTGCAGCTATCCAAGTTATCTTCTGGGGGCCATGCAGGAGTAGTTCTACAAATGAGRGACTCATGCTGGAGCCCCATCAGGATCATGCAGGCCTGGGGGGCCCTTAAAGGACATCCTTGTCTCTTATAACTTTTGTGCAAAACACWCTTTTTCTCCTGGTCTACCTATAGAGCTTCTCTCAGCTTTATAGTATTTATATTTTTTGAAATCGCTTTTTCAATAAATTCAAAATAATAACTTRTCATCATGGTGTCACTAATAGTTTGAATCGTGACTCTAAAATAATCAACAACACAATCATAAAGGCTTTATAAAATGTAAAAAAAAAGAAAGATTTTACGTCATCTGTTAGTGCTCTGTGTGTTGAGAAAGACTTTCAGCTACTAATACAACAAATCAGGGTTAGAGCTAGACTTTTTTGCAAGGGGTGGCCAAGGTGTTTTTAGGGGGAAAAAAGGAAAGAAAAGAAAGAAAAGAAAAGCACTCTGGGTTTGAAAATGCAAGATGGCCACATCATCTGATTCCAAATGGCTTTAATTCAGCAGTTTTTAAAAAATACTGAGCCGAAAAATTGTGATCATAGCAAAGAATTTTCCAAAAACCATCCTGAATATTAATCACAACTTATAATTCATCCATTTTTAGACAAACAAAGCCAAATATTAGTGTAGAATTAGCCAAAAAATAATTTTTATCCAATTCTAAATGCTAATTCAAAGTTCAAATGGCCACAACAGCCAACTTTAAATGGCTAAAATTCAGTCATTTTAAGTCTTATTGAGTTGAAATTAGTTGTGGAGCAGCTAAGAATGATCACATGTCGATTGCCATGCTAATCACAAATTAAGTTAACTCTAATGCTAATTTTACAAAGGGTTACAATTCAGCCATTTTTAAACATACACAGCTGAAAACCTATACTTATACAGTACAGTGGTATCAGAGAACAATTTTTACACAAAATCTAAATGCAAATACAAAATCCAAGATCCCCACCCACCCACTTGTCAATTATTTGGGTGTGGCACCCCAGCCCTCTGGCTTCACCCCTGCACCAAATGTTAACTTAATAAAACAGACTCCGTTAAAGTTATTAACTGTGGCAGCCATCTTGAATTAGATAAACTAAGCAATAATTACTTACAGAGCGTTCTTAATCTGCGTTATGTTAGTGTATGTTGAGGATCTGTCTCAGCTAACACCAAAGCTCAATATCTGTGAAACCGACTGAGTCATGATTTGTTTGCTAAAGTTGATTAGCTGTGGCAGACATCTTGAATCAAACTGGAGTTTGTCAGTTTTTGTTTTACCTGATGAATGTTTCTGTGGTTCATGACCTATTTTGCCAACAGACACAGACAAGTCCACCCACCTTTCATAGAAGCTGCTGTTTCATAAGGCCTTTGTATAGAGTTACATTGTTAGGAGCTATTGAGTTCTCACAAACTAATTTTTACCTGATGGCATRAGAAAAATCTGACTTTGAGCTGAAGATTATTACAAAGGATGGAGAAACTTCTTGAGAAAAGTGAGCTTGTCACTCAGGGAGCCTCTGTGCAGCTCAGAATGACAGATCAAACAGACTGGAATAGACCAAAGAGAGACCTGGCGCACACTCAGATTGATGGTTAGCTTAGTGGAGTATGACTTTATGCCGAAGCTTTACTCTGAGCTTCCTCACACAACCAAGAGCGCTGCATAACGGAAGCAGTTGACACCTCAGCTGGAGTGGATTTTCAGTGAGCAGAAAGTGTGGCCATTATGAGTACACAGCTTAATTTTCTGTCAGACTGCTCAGCACGTCAGCTGATGGGATTGTTTTTAAACCCTAAAACAAGCTGTGTTTGAGTGTGAGGGTGGGTAACAGACGGCCTGTGTCGAGACAGAGAGTGTGAGCGTGTTAAGGTGTTAGCGACGAGCAGTGTGCTCTTTGACGTGAAGTGGGAAACTAACCTGTTAACCTCAGCAACACGTTTCCTCTCTTCCTGTTCTCACAAGAGACGGTGTGCAACAAGAACAGCTATAGAATTAAAACAATAAGTGTTTTCAAACTGTTATCATCACCACACTATGGTGGATGCAGACTACAGTGTGCTGGTGGAACTTTTTATGCACGCGTGCAGCAGTGCAGGCAGTGGCTGGTACGTTCAAATCAATTCTGAGTACCAGTGCAAAGTACATAAAGGTACTTTATTTGTTACAGTGCATGCAGTTTCTGGTTAGCTTCTTAGCTTAGCCTCCTTCACAGCAACACTTCAGCAGAGGCCACGCCTTCAGCAAGAATCGCTTCTCCATAGCTGCGAGYCCAGACCCTTGTAGGAAGCAAAGTGAAGAACAAGGGTCTGGTTTTAACCAGGCTACTTTCTTACAGTATTTAAGTAACTTTCTTGAGCTTGAAGTATTTTTTATTGTGACTTTTACTTTTMTTTTTTTACATTCAACACATAAAAATGATACTTTTACTTCTTTACTTTAAAATTTATCACCTAGTTACACTTTACAAATGTAAAAGTGGCTGGAACTCATCATGAAAGGAGTGGTTTATGCACTCTGAAAATAAAGTGTTGAATTTACTTAAGTTAAGTTAACTGGTTCCACTAAACCATGTTAATGTAAAGCAATTTACTCAACTCGGCTTAGTGGAACCAGTTTGGTTAAGTAAATGCAACACTTCTTTTCTTAGAATGTGTGTAAATATACTTTTATTTTCCCGAACAGTGAGCAGTTTCTTTTACTTAAGTACATTTTGTATAAGTCATTGTCTGTTAGGATATTTCTACTTTTACTTAGTTGTGTCTTTCAAGTACCTTCTGGATAGAACCTAAACACCACGTCACTTGAAATGTCAACTGTAACACATTCAATAACGTATACCAGTATCCCAATATCAATAACAGTATTGGTAATGATTTCAGGTATCGGGACATTTTGTACACATACAAACAGTTTTAAGTGGACTTTCAGAGTTTGATGAAAATGCACTAAAAACCTTTTATTTTCTTCTCCTCTTTCTCTTTTTTTAGCCAATCGTGTATGAAGGCCAAGATAAAAACCCAGAGATGTGCCGGGTGCTGCTGACACATGAGATCATGTGCAGGTAAGACACGACTCCCCACCTCTACGTCTTCTGTAGAATCCTCCTGGTCCGAGGTGGACATGTTTGAGATTCAGGTTTTAGTCTATAGACTTGACAAACAAGGGTTTTGGGGGAATGATGAGTCAAATTCAGACACTTTGKTCAGGTGGTTTGGACTCGAAACCACAACAAGAGACGTTTTATCTTATCTGTAAAAAAATATGTCCTAGTTCTATCATCATTAATCTTGGCTCACGTCTTAAAAAGATTAATTAGCAAAAAGAAATGGTAAACGATGCCAAAATAAAACAAGCAGCAGTTTTTTTTAATTTGAATACCTTTCATTGTTCAGGATCCTAAACAATATCTTTGTTTTTGACCTATTAATTTCAACTTTATCGCCTACCTGGGTATTTCAGCATTTCTATTTTATGTTATTACYTTCTACTTTTCTAGACTACTTAGATAAATATATTTTTAAATAGAAAAAAAACATATTTGTGTGAAAAATATATCCAGAGTAGTTTGTTTCCCTGCTTTCATGTTGCTGAAGCAAACATGTTTATTTTGTATTTTTTGTTTCATTGTATTGGTCAGCTCTTCCACAACTTTCCACTCGGGAATCTACAGTTTTACACTCCAGCCTGCAGGTGGCGATAATGTGCTGGTTTGTCTACTGACCAATAAAAACCCAAGAAGAAAAGCGATTTTTAACCAGGACTTGAATGCATTTTTTTGTGATTGTGGTTCCAACGAGATAAATTATCKAATTGTGGGCGGAGTTAACATCAAACAGTACTTCCTCAAACAAGAGTCCRTGTTGTTTTTCTTCTTCTGTGGTTTCACTTACAGTTTTCTTGGACTGTCATGTTTGGGRCTAGTTTTTAAAAGCAGGTTTTATTGCAAATTCRTTTTAARTACATRGTAAAWGGACTGTACWTATTTAGCTCGATACTCAAAGTTCTTTACACTACAATCTGTGTCCTCATTTACCCATTCACACATACACATTCAGCAAAGCAAAGCTAGTACAGATCAATCATTCCATAGAGATCAGTGCTTTAAATCACACACATACACTGATGGGACACACAGTGGKGGTTCAGTGTCTTGCCAAAGACACTTCGACACATGATCGAATAGCGGTGGAATTGAACTGCCAACTCTCGCATTAGAGGAACGACTCCCCTATCGTCCACAGCCGSCCTGTGTGAGCAACAGTCACAAAAACCTCAGCCAAGAGACTTTAGCCCAAAATGACATCACATAAGTTTTGCAGCTGAGCATATACGCAGAAMCATGTTTTAGGCCTCAATTTGTGAAAAACTAATCTTTCTTATTCTGTCACCCTCATTAAACCCCTCGCCCCCCTCACACACTCCCACACACACACTCTGGGTCACATACAAACGAAGCCAGATATGTTGAGGAACATTAGTTTGGGCTCTCATGGTTGTTGCTTTAATTATAACCTAAAGATGAATTTCTTCTAAAGTAGGTTGGGAGAAAAGAAKRCTATTTATAGAAGCATTTTACCATCCTATCCCATACAATAGACGATGTGTGCGTGTGGAAACATGAGCAGTATGTGTGTGTCTGTATGACGCCTGGTTAATTAGGACACAGAGAAACTCATTAGTCAATCTGAACCTTTCTGTTGTTCTGTGGCTAACAAATGGGTCTCCTTCTTCAATCTGACTATAAAATATAAGCAAAGACTAACACACACACACACACACACACACACACACACACACACACACACACAC